CAAGTTGCACTACAGTTCACGCAGGATGATGCGTTTTTTTAAATGCACACAACAAAACCATATAAAACTCTTCTGAAAATGTCTGGAATGACGTCTACCTAGTTTATCATGGTGGCAACCTCTGAAGAGAGATGAGATAGAATAGAGTGGGAGAGAAAGAAGACTTCAGCCTTTTCTGTAGTGTTCTAATAAAGGTGAATGAGCTCATATGTTATTCTGTACTTGTTAAAAACCAGTACTAGTCACGATGAACATCAAGATGAGTAAGACAAGACCCCTGCCTTCAGATAATTCAGATTATGCAGGGAGCAGGAGGAAAGAGACATGGGGGGAAAGTGGAGAAACAAAAGGCGTGTGCTGTCACCTTTCAAGTTGATTTAAGCAAGCTTCACGTTTTATGGGCGCAGGCAGGGGAAGAATTCAGGAAGAAGAGAAACAGGGTATTCTAGTAAGACAAGCCAATGCCAACTGTTTAAGAGATTTAGGATTGAAAGTCGCTGTTGAACTTGCATTCCGGTGGTCCTCTCTGGTGTTCTCACCAAGGGCAGAAGGACTCAAATCCTCAGCAGAGGGCAGAAGGTGGCCTCTCTTCTGGCAAAACATGGTATTTTTGGAGCGCGATGCAGAGCCTCATCTGCACAAACGTCACACTGAGGAAGCCACCCCAGCCCAGCCCCCGCATGCCACCAACCTCCTTCTGAAAATGGTGATTAAAAGCTAATGGTGGGGCCGTGCGCAGTGGCTCATGCCTGTAATCCCAGCACTTTGGAAGGCCAAAGCAGGCGGATCACCTCAGGTCAGAAGTTCGAGACCAGCCTGGCCAACATGGTGAAACCCCAGCTCTACCAAAAACACAAAAATTAGCTGGGCACGGTTGCAGGCACTTGTAATCCCAGCTACATGGGAGGCTGAGGCAGGAGAATCACTTGAACCTGGGAGGCAGAGGTTGCAGTTAGCTGAGATCGTGCCACTGCACTCCAGCCTGGGCAACAGAGCGAGACTCCATCTCAAAAAAAAAAAAAAAAAAAAAAAAAAGCAGCTAATGGTGGTTGGGTTCTTTAACTCACCACAGAGAGAACTCAGATACTGTACAGCACACACATTTTCTTTTTTGGCCTGCAGAGGCTAAACAGAGGAGATCCTCTCCAGTGATTTCCTTTTAGGGAGAAAACCCAGTGAGTGACACGTGAATGTGTCTGCTCCCCACGGCTGCTGTCATCCTGCAGGCATCCGCCTCTCGCAGGCATCCCGCCTCTCACTCCGAAGTCTGGCATATGTTTCCACTTAGAGGACTGTGAATTCCTTCCCTGTTCTGGTGAACACCATTTCCTTGGGACTGATAGAAATCTCAGTCTGTCAAATGCTGAGTGTTTAACAAACAAAAGCCTAGACATTCTGTGGGACAGGAAGTGCTAGTTTTCTAAGTCCTCCATTCCTCAAGAAATAGTCCAAAACTTAGTCATTCCATGAACCAAAGAAAAGTTAACAAAATATTAACTTCCGAGATGGTTTGGGCACAGGGTACTCGTAAGATATCTAGGAGGTGACAGAGGAAGTCTGCAACCTATTTAAAGCCGGGAAGCTTGAGCAGTATTGCATTCTTTGCATTTGTTTGAGACAAATTGAAGTGGCCTGGTTTGTTGCCCCACACTATCATGGAAGAAAAACTTGGAGCCGGAGGAGGTTAAAAGACAGGGATCCTTGTCCTAACTCCACCCCTAAATTATCTAGTGCAAGCCATTTTTCTCAATCTTTATTTTACCATCTATGTAATGAGATCATAGCTGCTTTACCTGCCTTTCTTGATTGTTATGATGAGCAAATAATAGAAGCATAAGAATTCAAAAAACAGAGTTTTTTGAGAAGGAATATTGTTATATATTCCTTCTCAAAGTTATAGAGAAGGAATATTGAGATTATTTCGGCACAGCTTCACAAATGTTTTCTCTATCCCCTTGTTAAACTCACATAAGGGCAGAAAGAGAAAAACTCCCCACTGAGGGGAATAGAAAAGAAACGGATAAAAGCCATGTTAAACCCTCCCCTCCCTACATAACACCAAACTGCAAATTGAGGGTGTTCGCAGGAAGTGATCTATAAAGCACGTTTTCAAAGCAAAGAGAAAATGACAGACATACCAAAAGACAAGACATGAAAGAAAGTTCACAACATAAAAAAATACAATGTTAACACACACGGAAAAGTATCTGGCCTTACCAGTAATCAATGAAATGCACATTCAAAGAATGAGGTAAAATTTTTCATCTCAAGTTGACAAAGACTATTTCTGAATGGATTATTATTGTTATATTATTATTATTATTATGACAGGGTCTTTTCCTGTCACCCAAGCTGGAGTGCAGTGGCGCAATCATAGCTCACTGCAGCCTCAGCCTCCCAGGCTCAAGCAATCTTCCTGCCTCAGCCTCTTGAGAAGCTGGGATGACAGGCACACAACACCATATCTGGATAATTTTTTTATTTTTAGAGAGATGAGGTGTCACTATGTTGCCCAGTCTGGGATACAGGAGTATTCATGAGGGTACAAGGAACAGGCTTCACACAGGTGAATGCACATGGATCAACTTTCCTTAAGAATAGTTTGCCACTGTATAGCAGATGCCTTTTAAAATATTTATACTCATTGACCCTTCAGTTAGTAAATATTCATCCTAACAAAATGCTCATTCACAGCTCACAGGATGTTATGTATAAGGATGGTGGGCTGGGCATGGTGGCTCACACCTGGAATCTCAGCACTTTGGGAGGCCAAGGTGGGTGGATCACCTGAGGTCAGGAGTTTGAGACCAGTCTGGCCAACATAGTGAAACCCCATCTCTACTAAAAATACAAAAATTAGCCAGGCATGGTGGCCCATGCCTGTGATCCCAGATACTCAGGAGGCTGAGGCAGGAGAATCACTTGAACCCGGGAGGTGGAGGTTGCAGTGAGCCCAGATGGCGCCACTGCACTCTGGCCTGGGCAGCAGAGTGAGACTGTCTCAAATATTAAAAAAAAAAAAGGATGGTGTCTTTAGCATTGTTCATAATTTTGAGTTTGTTAACAATTTAAGATAACCTAAGTATATAAGACTAAATGAATTATATCAATGGCCATTAAATGTAGCCATTCCTTCATAATATTGAAGGAAATGAGTTATTTTAAGAACGCTTATCTCTGGGTAATGAGGTTTATGAAATATTTTTATTTCCTTAGAACTTTTTCTTTTTTTCCTAACCACTCCATTAGGCCATCAGGAAAGGACAAACACATTTCAAAGGAAAGGGAGAAAGCTCCTGTGGCAGTCAAGGCCCTTTTCATTGGCTGTAGTGGGTGGGGGCACCAGAGTTCAAAGTCTGTCCGCAGATTTATAACCTCAGTGGCCAATTTTTCTATTCCCCCTTCCAGGACTGTCTGACCCTGAGGACTGATTCAAATTAGCCAAATGCACAGTCGATTAATTAGTAAACCAGAACTCTGTATGCATTAATTGGCAAAAGAATATGCATGGCTTGAGAACAAATTGGGGTCTTTTATTTACTGAGCATCTCTCCTGTACTAGACTCTCTTTCTGAAATGGGGAGCCCTTTCTGGGGCCAAATAGAACAGAGTAAGAACAAATAAAGAGAATACAAACAGACTCAAACACAGGCTCAGGATTTTTTTTTTTTTTTTTTTTTTTTAACACAAGAGATATTTCTAGCTAACTGTGGCAATCTCAGCGACTCTCCCTCGGCTCCCAAGCTGTTCCTGCCAATGAAATCAAGATGAGTCACTGGGAATCAGGGTTCCCTCTCCTTCGTGTTTAAAACACACATTGGCAAACTGCTTCTCCAATTCATCTTTTTCCTAGATTTCTTTCAGTTCGTAGTTGTCATGACAACTATACTCATGGTCCACATTTATAACAGACTCCTGCCTTGGTGTTTCCCGATTTCCTTTCCTTCATGGGTTCACTTAAAGGTCACCCTCTTCCTGGGGGCCTCCAGGGAGGCGGCTTCCGGGGGAGGTCAGGCAGGTGCCTCCCAGCCACCCTGTAAAATGGCTCCTTGGGGAAACCTCCCACTGGGGAGCTGATTCCATGAGTCCCCTGTGCATCTCTCAGAGTCAGAAGCCTGCCTTTTTTAGCTTTGTTCACAGATTTGGAGACTTTACTTTAACCTCCGATTTTAACATTTACCTTACTTTGCAGATAGCTTTCAGGACCTCTACCCCTACATGGTTTGACTCATAACGTGTGTAGTAATGTGTCTGACATCTAGCCTGTCTAGCCAGCTGCTTATTAGATGTGCAGTAGCCAGAACCCAGATGAAAGGCCAGTTTACGTTATTAATAGAGGTCATTTGTAACTGTCAAACAAGCACTTCTAGAGGAAATAATTATCTGAAATCATGGGCAAGTTTTAACAGTAACATATGTTCATTGTAGCACATTCAACTGTACAGAAGTATTTAAAGTCAAGAGTGACAATCCCACTCATTTCTCCAAGCCCATCTGTTCCCGCAACTGATGTTAGTCCTTCTAAAATATGCTTTACACGTACACACATCACACATACTTTCATCTGTCCGATTGTACATTGTCAATGTTTTTAAGTAGAATTGTAGTATACATTCGTTTCTGCAATTTACTCTGTTTACTTTACAACTTAACCAATAGAGCTAGACTACTGGGTCAAATGTGAGCTTTGACACTCACTGGCTGCCTCTCTGAACCTTAGTTTCTTCATCTGTAAAATGGGGACAGTAATGGCATCTACCTCACGGGATGGAATGGAGTCAGTATATATCAAGTGCTTAGAACAGGGCCTTATGCTTTACTACCCACACTCAGAAAGCATAAGCTAGTAGTAGTTATAGTAGAAGCAGTAGTACTACTAGTAGTATCATGTCAGTCTTTTCAATGGCTATCCAGCATTCATGACGTGGGTAAATCATAATTTTAAAAATTAATCTGCTATTGATTGTGCCTGGATTTTACTTAACACCAGTAAGACTTACCGTGAAACTTCCCTGCTGTTGCATTCAGGATCATCAAGTTTGTGCCCTGCTCTGAACAAGACCAGTTCTGGTGAATTCATTCCAGGTGCAGCCAGCTTCAGAGTTTGGGAATCTCTGGTGGGAGGTGGCAGATGGGCTCTAAGATGTGGATAGAAGGTGTATGTGCCCTTCCATTTCCAGCAAATCGCCATCGCTCGCGAGGGTGACCTTCTGACCAAGGAGCGGCTGTGCTGTGGCCTGTCCATGTTTGAGGTCATCCTGACCCGCATTCGGAGCTACCTGCAGGACCCCATCTGGCGGGGCCCGCCGCCCACCAATGGCGTCATGCACGTCGATGAGTGTGTGGAGTTCCACCGGCTGTGGAGCGCCATGCAGTTCGTCTACTGCATCCCTGTGGGAACCAACGAGTTCACAGCTGAGTGAGTACCCGCCAGAGAGGGCAGGGTTACCCCCAGTCTGCCTGTGCTCCTGCAGGTCATGGGGCTGCCGGAGTTCAGCCAGAAACTTGGGCAGGGGGTAGGGGTGGTTGGCCAACAACTACTTTGTTGGGTGTGTTGAGCTGACTGCATGGGCAAGAAAGAGCCCAGTAAGGGTTTGACAGTAAGACCCTCACTGCCTGCCTCACCCCCACTACACTGTACCACTAGACAATGAGGAACCTTTAGGAGTCCTTAGAGCAGACAGCAGAGCTAGTTCTTACTGCACTCACCCAGCTACATAGCGAGGACAGAGTGGAAAGGGAGACAAGGCCTCCCCTCTGGCAGCCAAGAGCTCTAGGAAAAAGGTGTGGGAAGAGGAGGCTTCCCCAAGAAAGTGGTGTTGGTGAAGCTGTCTCAGAGCAGTGCTGGCCTGCAGGCTTCCAGTGCAGGGATGGGGAACTGGGGACACCCGCCCGGGTTGGGCTGCTGCTTGAGGACAAGAGAGACAGCTGAAAGATGACTCTACTGCCATCCAAACTGCCCAGGTCTCTTGAGAGTTGGGGCCTGCAGTCGGAGCTTTGTCAGAACCAAAAGGACTCAGCCTCGACCCCAGCAGCATCTGCCCCCCATGGCCTTTCCCTTCCCTCTCAGCCTGCTTCTGGCCAGTTGGCCTCCTGGTTTGAAATGGCCCCTCTCCCCCTGGGTGTTCCTTCAGCTCCTTTAGAGTCAAGACAGATTCTCCTTTGACCTGCACAAAGTAATCAGCCACATACATCTCAAGGGCTGGGTGGATTTTTCCTTACAAATTCAGAGCTTCTTAAGAGCTGTTTTTTGTTTTTTGTTTTGTTTTTTAACATTAGTGATGCAAAGAGGCTGACACCTCTTTGTGGCCGGAAGGACTTATGACATAACTACCATCCCTGCAACTAATGAACCTCCCCTCACAGCTTCCTTTGTACCCATTTTATAGATTAAGAGACTTGGCCCAAAGACAGGCCTGCTTAGTAGCTGTACTCCTGGCCCAAGATGAGGCTCCCTCCCTCCCTGCCCTCCTCCGCCACCTCCCTCTCCAGCTGCTTCCTCCCCCTGCTCCTAGGCAGTGTTTCGGCGATGGCTTGAACTGGGCTGGTTGCTCCATCATCGTCCTGCTGGGCCAGCAGCGTCGCTTCGACCTGTTCGACTTCTGTTACCACCTGCTCAAAGTGCAGAGGCAGGACGGGAAGGATGAAATCATTAAGAATGTGGTAAGCAGGCTGGTGGCCGAGGCCTGGGAGGTGGGGCTGGGCTGACAACCAGGCTTTCACCAGAAAAGCAGGGGAAGAGCTGCTTGTGAAGGCCAGCTCCCCACACCGCAAGTACAAAGATACTACTGCTTAGAAGAAGCCATGAGTCACCCGCTCATCACTTACTGCCATGAATCAGTTCACCCTGAAGGGCAGGGCTGGGCTCCAGACCGGGAGTGCATCTCCCCTGTCCCAGTCAGACTCTGCTGATACCAGTTTCTCACCTGTACAAATATTCACCAAATACCAGAGCTGTGCGGGCACCTGGATGGGGTAGGTACTGGCATGGGGTGAGCTAGGCTGCTGTGGGAAGGGAGAGAAGGACCCTTAAACCAGGCTGCGGGCAGAGAAAGCTTCCCAGGAGAGGGAGGCTGTGTCTGGGCTGAGTCCAGAATGGCCCGCAGCAAAGAACCAAGCAGCGAAGGCGGTATGGGGCAGGGAGGATGCTCCAGACAGAGCAACGGTGACAGCAGAGGCACTGAGGCACGAAGGCGGATCGAGGGGTGGGTCTCAGGGACCCAGTGAGAGGACAGAGAGGTAGAAGCCACCTCACAAAGGGCTTTAAAAAAAATACACATAAAATAGTTTCAATGGTAATTTTCTGTATATGATTCAGTGGCATGAAGTACCCTTAAGTATTGTACAACCATTCCCACCATCCATCTCCAGAGATTTTTTCATTTTCCCCAACTGAAGCTCTGGGCCCATTAAAAAATAACTCCCCATCTTCTCCCTAGCCCCTGGTAACCATCATTCTACTTTCTCTATGCATTCGACTACTCTAGGTACCTCATCTAAGTAGAATCATACAGTATTTGTCTTTCCGTGACTGGCTTATTTTAGTTAGCGTATCCTCAAGGTTCATCCATGTTGTAGTGTGTGTTCAAATTTCCATCCTTTTTATGGCTGTATAATATTTCACTGTGTATATAGACCATGTTGTGTTTGTCCACTCAGGTTGCTGTCACCTTTTGGCTATTTTTGAAAATGGTTAATTTTGGCTACTATGAAACATGTGTGTACAAATAACTCTACAAATTTCTGCTTTCCATTCTTTTAAGTATATACCCAGAAGTGGAATTGCTGGATCGTATGGTAATTCTATGTTTAATTTTTTTAGAAATTGCCATTCTGTTTTTCATAGTGTCTGCTCAATTTTACATTCTCACCAGCAGTAGACAAGAGTTCCAATTTCTCCACATCGTCACCACTTACTCTTTAATAGTCATCCTGATGAGTGAAAAAAGTTATCTTGTTATGGTTTTGATTTGAATTTCCCTAATGGCTGTCAATGCTGAGTGCTGTATTCATGTGTTATTTGCCATTTATGTATCTTCTGTGGAAAAATGCCTATTCAAGTCCTTTGTCCATTTTTTTAATTCATTTTTGTTGAGTTCAAGTTCTTTACGTATTCTAGATATTACTTATCAGATCTGATTCGTGATTATTTTCTATTTTATGGGTTGCCTTTTCATTCTGATGGTGTCTCTTTGATGCACGAAAGTTTTCAATTTCGATGTAATGCAACCCTTTGCCTTTGCTTTTGATGTCATATCCCAAGATATTATTGCCAAATCCAGTATCATAAAAATTTTCCCCTGTGTTCTAAGAATTTCAGTTTTAACTCTCATGGTTAGGTCTCTGATCTATTCTGAGTTAATTTTTGTATATGGTATAAGGAGGTAAGGGTCAAGTGTTATTTTTCATGTGGGTATCCATTTTTCCCAGCACCTTTTGTTGAAAAGGCTGTTTCTGCCATTGAACAGTCTTAGCACCCTTGTTGAAAATCATTTGATCGTATGTGTAGTAGTGTATTTCTGGGCTCTCTATTCTGTTTTATTCATCTGTATGTCTACCTTTATGCCAGTGCCACACTGTTGATTATTGTAGCTCTGTAGATTGCTTTAAAACTTGGAGAGGGTTTTTATGGGTCCAGTTAACACTTGTCAGATCCAGGGGATTCTATAAAAGGACTTTAAGAAGGTGACATGATCACTGATGCAGGGTACACTGTACCTTACTGACTTCTCCTGTTACTCCCTCTTTCCACCCCCACCTTTGTCCTGCCCTAACTTGAACATCCCCTTCCTTCTGTAGCCCCTGAAGAAGATGGCCGACCGGATCAGGAAGTACCAGATCTTGAACAATGAGGTTTTTGCCATCCTGAACAAGTACATGAAGTCTGTGGAGACAGACAGTTCCACTGTGGAGCATGTGCGCTGCTTCCAGCCGCCCATCCACCAGTCCTTGGCCACCACTTGTTAAGCAGTAGGTCCTGCAGACGCTTTTCTGGAGGAGGAAGAGAAGTAGGAGAGAGAAAGCCACAGCCAGCCTGCCACAGGATCCAACTGGACAACGTGTGGGATGGACCTGGAAACAAGCACCTCCCCAAACACATCACCACTCCCTAGGGCGGGGCCTGTGCATGCTCTCCCATGACATCTCCATGCTGGTTTCTTCATAGCATAAATGAAAAAAAAAAAAAAAAAAGGAAACAGGGCAGTGTGTGCTTTTTCTTTTCTCCCTGCTGAACTATATTAAGAACTCCTAGTTTCACCCTTTCTCCATCCCATCGTCGCACCCATCTGTGGTTGCTTCCCAAGACCGCCTCCCAAGATGGACACCTCCTACCCAGTGCCCATGTGTGACCCCAGGACTCAAGTCTCAGACTGTGAACACAGATGTGGCCATGCCCAGAGATGCCAGCCTGGCCAGAAGGGCATGCCTCAGCTTACTACTTCATCTCTCCTGGTTCCCTCCATGCAGTACCCTGGGTGGCAACTTCTCCCACTCTGGGTACCAGGGATTCTACCACATAGGCTTCCCAAAGCCCCATTCCAACTCCCTTCTCTCAGGGAAGTCCTAGAGAGAGGTCCAAAAAGCATTCACAGCTGTATCACACTCCATGCAGGTAAGGTAGGAGACTGGTCAGGCCTGCTGTGGGGAAGCGGTATGTGTGAACACAGCCAGAAATGTCATAGTCCAAACAGGATGCTTTCAGGCCATCTCAGCTGCTTGATGGTGAGATGGTTCCCTTATTCCTACGGGAAAGGCTTAGCATTGGGCCACACAGGGGAAGCAGCTTTGAACAAATCAATCATAGCACTGCCTATAGCATTAGCCAGTGACCAAATTACGGGCCACTTCTTGGCACAGAAATGCTTATCAAGGAACATTTCCACAAGAAATAAAATATTAAGGAGTTATTTCCACAGAGGCCCAAAAAGTCTTGGAAACAGAGGTGAGGAGGAGTAATAATAATTGTCAATGAGCTTTTAATACCAAGATATGCCCCCTGTCCCCGAAGAAGAGTCTTCTTTTAGGGAATCAGGACTTCCATTGTCCTAGAAGCTGAAAGATTCTTGGAACATTTTAGCTTTTACTCTCAACTTGCTGTTCTCTTTACATTCCTTAAGTTAGACTTTGGGGTGTGACTTCCCTCCCAGGGGTAACATTTACTTCCATTTTCTAGACCGAACCAAAAGTCTTCTGCAAAATCTCCCACCGAGTGTGATGAGACCATTGAGAAGGATAAAAGCCTTTAGGATATAAATGTCTTGTTACAGAGCATGTCATTGTCAAAGCAAATCTGTGGCCCTGAGGTTTTAAGAATATCAAATGTGACATTTGATATTTCTCCAGCCCTGGGAAGTAAGATGGTTAGAAATGGTTGCCTTAATCAAATGGTCCCATTTTTAACCCCAAAGGAAGTGCCCACAGCAAGAGGCTTGTGTGATGCACTTATGTCCTCCAGTGAGGAAAGGTGGGGCCACATGTGAAAGGCCCCTTAGGTCAGATCCTGAGAGTAGCACATTTGAGTGCAGATTCCTGGAACCCACCTCAAACCTACTAATTCTGAATCTCTGGGAATAGGGCCAGGAAGTCTGCCCTTTCTACAAGCTACCCAAGTTATTCTGTTGCACATCAATGTTTGGGAACCACTGCTGTAAGGGAATCATTCTGGTCACCTTGAGCTTTGAGCTACCACTAAGCCATGAAAGAAAATACATACAGGGAAGAGAGAAGGGAGGAGATTGCAAGTAGAAACTGGCAGATCCTCCTCTCTGGAGGTACCACCTTCTATTCTGATTTCTGACTTTTCCTTCTTGATGACCATAGATATGTTCCAGAGGCAGAAGAGAGAGATTACCCCACATGGCAGAGAACATGCTTTCAAAACATATAGAATGTCAAAGTTCCAGATCCTTCTACATCTTTAGTCCTGTCTGAGGTTGGTAGCTGCCTTTCTGTAGCTGATAGATGGCTAGAGTTCCATCCAAATCCCTGACCACGACTTCGTGGAGATTTGAATTATCTATTTGATGAGATATTTATTTCAATAACCCACCTCTCTCACCCCACATTTATATCCCTAAATTTGACCCTCTGGGCCGAGTCATATTGCCTTCAGGAGACTTGATCCCAGTAGATTGAGGTCTTCCCTTTCAGCAGAAAGATTTATTTCCCTGGCTTGCCAGTGGCACTGATTTCCTAACACCCAATGAGTTTAATATTCTTCCTCCCTGGCATTACTGCCCAAGCCTCTTTTGATTTTTTATTTTATGTGTGTCTAATGACCAGGAAAAAAATAAAGCTTAGGTTTTAAAAAGTTTTAAAAAAAATCTGTTTCAGAAACTGTCAAATGTACCATATTTGTATTAAGAATTGTTGGGAATTTTTGTACAATGAATTTACATTTAT